GGATAACAGGGAAGGTACTACAATGGATCAGGGAATACTTGTCAGGAAGACAGCAGCGAGTCATGGTACGTGGCGAGGTGTCAGGGTGGGCACCTGTGACCAGTGGGGTCCCACAGGGGTCAGTCCTAGGACCAGTGCTGTTTCTCGTATTTGTGAACGACATGACAGAAGGAAGAGACTCCGAAGTGTCCCTGTTTGCAGATGAAGTGAAGTTGATGAGAATTCATTCGATCGAAGACCAGGCAGAACTACAAAGGGATCTGGACAGGCTGCAGACCTGGTCCAGCAATTGGCTTCTGGAGTTCAACCCCACCAAGTGCAAAGTCATGAAGATTGGGGAAGGGCAGAGAAGACTGCAAACGGAATACAGTCTAGGGGGCCAGAGACTACAAACCTCACTCAAGGAAAAAGATCTTGGGGTGAGTATAACACCAGGCACATCTCCTGAAGCACACATCAACCAAATAACTGCTGCAGCATGTGGGTGCCTAGCAAACCTCAGAACAGCATTCCGACATCTTAATAAGAATCGTTCAGGACCCTGTACACCGTGTACGTTAGGCCCATATTGGAGTATGCGGCACCAGTTTGGAACTCACACTTAGCCAAGCACGTAAAGAAACTAGAGAAAGTGCTAAGGTTTGCAATAAGACTAGTCCTAGAGCTAAGAGGTATGTCCTACGAGGAGAGGTTAAGGGAAATCAACCTGACGACACTGGAGGACAGGAGAGATAGGGGGGGATATGATAACGACATACACAATACTGAGAGGAATTGACAAGGTGGACAAAGACAGGATGTTCTAGAGATGGGACACAGCAACAAGGGGACACAGTTGGAAGTTGAAGACATAGATGAATCACAGGGATGTTAGGAAGTACTTCTCCAGCCACAGAGTAGTATCAAGATTGCACCCCTTAAGGGTGCAATCTTGATACTGCGAAAGGGCCCGTGATTTCTGAGACTGGAGTTGACCTTTTTCTCTTTGGATCAAACCTGATCGTCTTCCATTACTGAGGCGCTATATGACTCATACGGGTTCATCCCTTTCTCGTGAACGCAATAACAACTGGTAGCCGATTTATTTAATAGATTAGCCCAACACGGACACCTGTATAAAGCAGGGGATTACAGGTGTTTACGATGAATCTGCCCATTCGTAAGCGCGTCTCACCGTCAATGCTGCATACTTGTGATGAAGTTCTTTGTGGCCATACTACTAAAACTAATTTAAACCAACTGAAAATTAACACCGACTCCTTCAGTGGCTATCAGAATTAGTTTCTATTAGATTTCTGGCTTGATAAAATAGCCATTCCACCACGTTGAATATTAAGTTTTAGCTGCTGACTTGTTAACTTAATTCACTTTTACAAATTTAGGTATGATTGTTTAATTTCCCAATTAAATCTCTTGCATTTTGAATGAAGTAAGCTGTTCTTTGTCTTCACCCCATTGCAACCGGGAAAAGGCTCGCCTTTGTGTGTCCGGTTTGTGTTTTAAACTCCTTACAGGCACTGCTGGACTTCTTGAAGTGTCCATAAAAATAGAATAGCACTGCAATAGGCCAACTGACTCGTGCTAGGCTAGTTCTTTTCAAGCCCAGTCATTTTCACTCGTATATTTGTCGAACATATTTTTTAAACTTCTCATTAGAGTCGAACCCTGCTCAGCAAAAAGTCTCTCCAAAAGCTTGTTAGTTCCAACAGTGGAGTGTAGAGGCCCTTGAGCGCCATATTTCTGCTGATGTGGACACGTCAGCCACCTTAGTGTGTGAAGGCAATGAGGTGGTGGTGTCGACATCCTTTGATGGAGCTTAAAAGTCTGGTGAAGTGTAGACTTCGTGCAGGCGAGTGTGCATGAAAAGGCGGTAACTTAGCAAGTTGAGGAACAGCAGTCCCTGTAGCTTCAGGGGCCAGCAGTATCTCATTGTGTAATGGATCCTCGCTCCACACATGAAACGGTTCTCTTCTGCAGGCGGGTATGCTTTGTTAGAATTCTTCAGCATAGATTCCAAGAATAAGATACATGTGTATGATGTACTCTGGGTACACACTAGGCGTCAAATAGGGCGTTCGTTTCACAAGCTCAGGATTCACTGCACCGTTTAAGAATTTTGTGGTTGCTAGTGCATGTGAGTGGAGACGGCAGAACTCACTAAAATATGCTGTCGAATACACGTTAGGCTCTCGGTTGAGGAGAAAGGATGGAGGAAAATATGGCGACTCCAACATTACGATTTTTTTTCTTGCACAGGTCGCGTATACGCCAGAATTCCATTTCCAGTAAATGCACATGGGGAGACTAAGGTAGCCATGACGGTACAACTAGTGATGCTGATGGCAATATTAAGTAAAGGTGTCTTTAAGGGGGTACTCACTAGTCTCATGGCTGAGCGGTGGCCGGGACGAAGGCTGACGCACTGGAGGCTTCGCGAGACCAACCTGCCGTTTATATACCATCATCACGTTGCCGATTTCTTTTTTTTTTTTTTTTTTTTTTTTAGTCAAGAGTGGCGTTGTGCAGTGGCGAGGGCGGTGTGTGGCGTGAGTGGTGATGTGGGAAGGCGAAGTGGCGGGGAACGCCAGGTAAGATGCAGGCGGAATAATAACGCTTGATAAAAGTTGTGAGAAGAGAAACTGGTGGGGTGAGATGTAAAGCCGAGTAACGGGTGAATGGCGGTGCGCCTTGTGACAGTCACCCAGCTGGTCACAGTCAGTCGTCAAGGTTGGTGTGGCTTACATGTTGTCATGATACTGATGATGCTGATCAACTGGCGTTGTTGTTGAGTCGCTTAATTGTTGCTTCAGCCATCATCGCCATCGCCATCATTCTCCAGTTAGCCTCAGACAAGCCCAGGTCTGTAGGGAAACTACACCAATATTTCCACTTCCACTTTTTACTGCCATCTTTCCCAGAGTGGCGTGCACCACGGAAGGTCAGCCTCCCTGCAAGGCTCCTCAACGGTGTTCTGACATGATTGCCACACTTGCCGCAGCCGCCGTCCCATCACTGCCGTTCCCTCTTCCCCTTCCCAGGCAAAAGATAGGGTATCGTGAGCGTAACAGTAGGCGATAGTGTTAACGTCTGAGAGTTTAACAAGTCAGATTAATGTAAGAGTAAAATAACCAGGCCACTTTCTTGAGGTAAATAAGCCAGTGTTATGATCACGCAGACCCTAAGTGGTACCCTTCCTTCCTTGTAAGTCACGCACCCAATTAATTCGTACATACATACTGAACTAGTCTAGTCTCCAGTGATATGTGACGGTAGTTTGGTAGACTGCAGCCATTCAGGGAAGTACTACCCTCCTCTCGTGCAAATGTGAAAAGGAAGCCTCTTTAACGTTTTGCACCTTTGCAGAATTATTGGTCTTGGTGTCACGCGCATGTAACATCTCTGGTAAAACTTACGAACTTCTACTTTCAGCATAACTTGTGTGTGTGTGTGTGTATATGTATGTATGTGTGCACGCGTGTGTGCGCGCTTGCTTGCTTGCTTGCCCGCGTGCGCACGCGTTAATAGTTCCTATACATACAATATTTCTTTTCCATTTTAGTAGGCCTGGCCTGCACCCCCATACTACACAGTACTCAGCTATAAGAAATTATCCAACATTACAGAGCATAACAGCAGGAAATTATCCAACAATATAAAGTATTGCTACAAGAAATTATCCACCATTACAAAACATAACTGCAGGAAACCAACCAACATTGCAAAGCATTAGTTCAGGAATTTATCCAACATTACAAAGCATAACAACAGGAAATTATCCAACACTATACAGTACAGAACTACAAAAAAAAAAAAAAATTCCCCAACTGTACTAAGAGATTGGAAATTCCCCAACACTGCATAATAAAAGGATTCGAGTATACATTTGTCTTAAGTGTTTCTTGAGCTATTACGATGTAGACAGTGTTTATATGAAGTGGCATGATCCTTTAACGGGAGTGAGTGATTTGATGCTGGTGAAAGGCTGTTAATCCAAGGAATTGGAGTACCCTTCTCCTTGGATTAAACCTGATTATCTCGCATTCTCCAGGCTCTATATGACCCCCTGTGGATTTAGTTTTTACCCATGACTGTAGTAACAACACTGCAGCATGACTTCTGCTGGCCCCTCTCTCTTTCCACAGTTTTGATTTTTACGTGTCACCAAAAGCTTGTAATATATTTTGTGAGAGAGACGGGGCATTGCGTGTGCGTGTGTGTACTGAACAAGTATATAAATATTACCTTCTGGGTAATCTTTCACAGATGTATATGTATGCTCGCAATAAGAATTAATGATAAGGGAAGTGTAGCTAATTTGTATTTACTAATCTGGCCACAGCAGTGGCTACTTTATTAAGTTGAGGATACTGAGCCACCTGCTAACAGATATAAATACAAGCGGATGTAAACGAAAATGTGTTGCCATTTTTAGGAAACTATTTAGTATTACATTGCGAGAACCATCTTCCAACGCGAACTTGCCACCTTTGGAATCCCTATGTTCATTGAAAAATTTCAATTTTGGGAGGTGAGACCTTTCTACTGCTTATAAAGCAGAAATAATGAAAGCGTTTGCCCAGTTCCTACATCCAACCCAAAAACTGGGCAGTATTTTAAAAAGCAAGTCTATTCAAAATCTGGGCAGAAGGAAGAGAAACACTGAAGCGACGACTGCAGAGTAAGCGACACTGACAACAGATGTTAAGTAACTGATATAAGACAATTTATAATGGGAAGTAAATTCAGTACTTACAAACCAGTTTTTTTTTTCTTAAGATCCTGGTCAGTTGCGACCATATGGTTTGGCAAATAGTAACAAAGTGTGGTAAAAAGAAACGGAGTTTGCAGAGTTTTGATTCTGAAGACTGTTTACGTAAGTGCTTAGCTTTTTAATAAAACTTAACACTGAGCAAGACTGTTCTTGCTGTACACACACTTTACCAAACTGTTAACATCGCCAGACTAACTACCTACCTGAAATCTACCTGGAGGGTATTCCGGGGATCAACACCCCTGTGGCCCGGTCCACGACCAGGCTTGCCGGTGGATCAGGGCCTGATCAATTAGGCTGTTACTGCTGGCCGCACATAGTCCAGCGCACGAACCACAGCCCGGTTGATCTGGCACTGACTAAGTATCTGTCCAGCTCCCTCTTGAAGACAACCAGGGGTCTATTGGTAATTCCCCTTATAGCTGGTGGGAGGCTGTTGAAAAGTCTTGGGCCCCGGACACTTAGAGTATTTTCTCTTAGTGTACTAATGGTGCCCCCACTTTTCATTGGGCGTATGTTGCATCACCTGCCAAGTCTTTTGCTTTCGTAGGGAGTGATTTCTGTGTGCAGATTAAGGACCAGCCCTCTAGGATTTTCCAGGTGCAGATTATGATGCTTCTCTCTCGTCTGCCCTCCAGAGAGTACAAGTCAAGTGCTTCCAAGCGTTCCCAGTAGTTGAGGTGCTTGATGGAACTGATATGTGGAGTAAAGGTTCTCTGTACATTCTCTAGATCTGCGATTTCACCTCCTTCACCCTGTTTGAATTAAATTTCTAGAGTATTTTCCTCATCCCTGATCATTCATACTTCCTGTATTGATCAACATCAGTCATTACTGTTCCGCAGATAGTTTAATCGACAGGTCTACGCTTATATCAGTTCACATCTTGTTCTTGTCACATGTTATAGTTATTAATATAAACATTAATATTAATATATAACGAAAACTATATTTTATCCTAAAATGTATAGACCTTTTAATATTTAAGCTATGTACAGTACATAAGCCATGGAACGGGTGGGGTTTGAACCCATGGCAAGAAGTCCTAACACTCCAGGCAAGTGTGTAAGTCACTCGGTCAGCTGTCCAAATTTTAGGACTTGCTTGTCATGAGTTCAAACCCCACCCGTTCCGTGGTTTGTTTGTAGACGTGGAATTAAGATATCGTGAGCACATACAGGGGGCAGAGTGGAAAGATCATGTTAGCAGTACAAATGATGTATATATTGGTAATTGGGAAATGGAACAAGGTATTTTCTGATAGATCTAACAGACAGATTTAATCTTCAGTATAATTAATTCTTCCTTACACGCATTTTTAAAGCCTTAATCTCTCTCTCTCTCTCTCTCTCTCTCTCTCTCTCTCTCTCTCTCTCTCTCTCTTCTCTCTCTCTCTCTCTCTCTCTCTCTCTCTCTCTCTCTCTCTCATACACACACACACACAGATTCTTATTATCCCATTCTGCTCTTCCCACCCTCTCTTTTCCTTCCCCCGTCGAGTGTGTGTGTGTGTGTGTGTGTGTGTGTGTACTCACCTATTTGTACTCACCTATTTGTGGTTGCAGGGGTCGAGTCCTAGCTCCTGGCCCCGCCTCTTCACCGGTTGCTACTAGGCCCTCTCTCTCCCCGCTCCATGAGCTTTATCAAACCTCGTCTTAAAACTGTGTATGGTTCCTGCCTCCACTACGTCATTTTCTAGGCTATTCCACTGCCTTACAACTCTATGACTGAAGAAATACTTCCTACTATCTCTCTGACTCATTTGTGTCTTCAACTTCCAATTGTGGCCTCTTGTTTCTGTGTCCCCTCCTTGGAACATCCTGTCTTTGTCCACCTTGTCTATTCCACGCAGTATTTTATATGTCGTTATCATGTCTCCCCTGACCCTCCTGTCCTCCAGTGTCGTCAGGCCGATTTCCCTTAATCTTTCTTCATAGGACATTCCCCTTAGCTCTGGAACTAACCTTGTCGCAAACCTTTGTACTTTCTCTAGTTTCTTTACGTGCGTGTGTGTGTGTGTGTGTGTGTGTGTGTGTGTGTGTGTGTGTGTGTGTGTGTGTGTGTGTGTGAACATCAGGTCCAACAAATACTCAATAAAAACCATTAATATAAATACTGCACGTTGACAACTGAATATATGACTCATAAAGAGAAGAAGAAACGAGAGAAAGAGTGAACGCCTCAGAGAACTGTTGAAAATTACTTTTAAGAATGGCGTTGCGCTTGAGCGGCAGTGGGAGGGTCCACCGGGGTAATCTCAGGGAGGGGGCGATTCAACCGGGCAACCACAGGAAAGGGGGGGAAGGGTGAGGGGAATGATAGTGGGGAGTTAGAGAGAGGTGTTTAGGGGGCCATGTTCCTCTATCTCCTTCCCTAGACAGTTTTAGAAGACCCGTAGTGTGGTGGAATATGGCAGGAAAATCTACCTGGCTTATGGCCTTCACCGGTTAACTATTTACCCTCTGGTGCCGCTGAGTAACTAAATACCTTCAAACCCCACTTCTTAACTAGTTACCCTCTGGTCCCTCTGTTTAACTAGTTATTTGCTGTATAACTAACAGAGTAGAGTAGCAACTGTTGATGTACATATTGTTAGTGCATGGAAAAAAAAGGTGTTGGGCCACTTATTACGACTCTCCTGTTACTGCTCTTTCCCATTACCGTACCACACTCCCCCTCTATCTTACCGCTCTCCCCCTTCCCCGTCTACCATTCTTCCCTCTTTCAAT